GTCTCGCGAGATCTCGTGGGACCGGCGGTGATCGAGGGTAAAGCTGCTCGTCGGGTCCCGAGATGAGAGATATCGCGAGATCTCAGCGCGCCTGCCAGTCTGAGGGGCCGGGCAGCGCGAAGTCTCGCGAGATCGCTAGGCTCCGCCGCTGTGAGGGGAATGGAGGCTCCTCGGGTCGTGAGGGGCCGAGGGCGCCAAGTCTCGCGACATCTGAGCGCACCTGCTGGTCTGAGGAGCCGGGCGCAGCGTAGTCTCGCGAGATCTCCGGCAACGGCCGCCCGTGCGGCCCTGAGGGGGAACAGCGCGAAGGAGGCTCCGGACCTGCCCTGCGCCCTCCGTGTCCCCTCACAGTCCCCCTACCCCTCGTGACCACACCATGGAGGTGTCTCCCAGCGCCCTCAGTGAGGCTCAGGCCCCCCTCACATTCCCCGGTACTCAAGTAGCTGTGCCCGCCTTGCAGGTGTAGGAGTTCCTTTAAGGCAGCACAAGGACAGCGGGAAAGGCAGAAAGGCAGTGAAAACCCTCAAAAACCGCTTGCTGAGGCCGGGATTTGTGTGCACAAACCTCCAGCAAAGGTAGGGTTGGCTGCACTGAGACAGGAATGTTTATTGGGAGTGGATACAAAGAGCAGGAAGGAACAAGAAAACACTTTCACCTCACAGATTTCACTCCCTGCTCAGGTACACACCGAGTTCAGTCTGCTCACACAAGAGGGACATACATAGTTTATAGGGCAAGGGTATAGAACCAGCTCTGTAAGCCAACAAAGAATTGTTACTTTATATAAACCCTCCTAGACTAAACAAGCAGTTCAATGATTTCTTAGGGGAAAAAAAATATCAGATACAGATGGAAAGATCACACCCATCTCATGTGGGTGATTGTACCCAAAATAACCCATCTTGTGTTAGTGCTCAACTCGCTGTATTTGGTATTTTAAAAAGATAAAGCCAAGTAATGTGTTTTTTTTAACAAAAGCTCCTTCAAACACCTTCTAAAAAAAAATCTCTCAATGCGGGGTTACGTTATTTTTGCACCTAAATTTTGTGTGTTTAGAGGTTTTGCTGCTTTTTGTCTCATGAAGCTGCAGAAGTGTTTCCAAATTCTTGGAGAGGCTGCTGTCCTTTCCTTTAGGAGTTTTTCTGTGGAATTTTGATTGTCACCTAGAAGAAAAAAAGAAGAAAAAGTCACAAGTGATTCTTTTTTTGAGACTGTTCGGGGGTGGTCACTGGAGAGGCAGCAGGAGAGAACCAGAGGACAGGGAGAGGTCTGGAGACTGGGAAGGCTCAGGGAGAGGGGGAGTCTCCAGGTCTGGGTCACAGTTCTGCTCCAATTTGCTCTCAAGCACCAGAAGGAAGAATTGCAGCTCTCAGCCCAGCCCACACCAACAGGCACAGGTACAGCTTGGAGCTCCAGCAGAGGGTTGGGGATGCCTTGGGCACAGGGATACTCACATTTTTCACCTCCACATAGGCATCCAGCCCATATTCCCCCAGCTCTCGCCCGTTCCCAGAGGCCTTGTAGCCCCCAAAGGGGGCCTGGGCACCAAACACGTTGTAGCAGTTGATCCTGGAATGGAAACCAAGGGTTAAACACCTGGAGCTCAGGAATTCTTCATGGAAGAGCCCTTTGGCAGCACATGGACAGCTGACCTGTTTGCAACAGAGGAAGGGGGAAGTTTCTCTGCAGGATTTGTGTATTTGCCAGTTCTCTCTGGCAACAGAATTAATTCTGAAATCTTATCACACAGAACATCATGGAGTCTGTTACCATCTCTCATTGTCCCAGTGCTGCCCTCACCCCCCTCAGAGCTCACGTACCAGAAGCACCCGCTCGTTCCCTCAGTAGCAATTAAAACAAAGTAAAAACTAAAGACAGTGAGATCCTGGATCTCCAAAATCTTGTGCTAGAGCAGGAAACTGGTGTTGTAGTGCCGGCTTTGGCACAGGCTCAGGACAGAGCAGAACATCCTCTGCAGCAGCCACGTCCCTGCCCAGTGATCCCATCACTGCTGGCACTCAGAGCCTGCAGCACTGGATTGCTTCTGCCCCATCCCATTCCTTAATTCACAGTGGGAGTATGGAAACTTAATATAAATCATAGAATCATGGAATGGTTTGGGTTGGGAGGGACCTTAAAGCTCATCCAGATCTATCTGCTGCCATGGGCAGGGACACCTTCCACTATCCCAGGTTGCTCCAAGCCCCATCCAACCTGGCCTTGGACGCTTCCAGGGATGGGGCAGCCACAGCTTCTCTGGGAATTCCATCCCAGCCTGTCACCACCCTCACAGGGAAGAATTCCTTCCCAATATCCCATCTAACCCTGCCCTCTGGCAGTGGGAAGCCATTCCCCCTTGTCCTGTCCCTGCAGCCCTTTGTCCAAAGTCCCTCTCCAGCTCTCGGAGCCCCTTTAGGCACTGGAAGGGGCTCTCAGGTCTCCCTGGAGCCTTCTCCTCTCCAGGCTGAACAATCCCACCTCTCTCAGCCTGGCTCCAGAGCAGGGGGGCTCCAGCCTAAATATACTTCCAACCTAAATATATATATATGTATGTATTATCTATATATATAAAAAATTTTACCAACAGTTACCATCACAGCTGAAGTCTGACAGGACATTCAGCGAAGTACATGTAAAATTGGATCCAAAGGAGGGACAGGCTATCAAAGAATGAGCCCAGTGAGCCCTGACAGCACACAGGGAAGCTTCCCAGCAGCTCTGGGAGGAGGCAGAGGGAGCTCACCAGACTGTGCCAGCCCGCAGGCTCTGGGACACATAGCTGGCCTTGTCCAGGTCCCTGGTGAACACGGCGGCTGCCAGCCCATACTTGGAATCATTTGCTCTCTCAATGACCTCCTCGATGGTTTTGAACTTCAGGATCTGCATGACCGGCCCAAAGATCTGCAACATCCAAACAGAGCAGGTGGAAATCTCTGTGGAGGTAGATAAGCAGACACCTCCTGACTGCAACCTCAGTCTTTCTGGGTCTGTGCACAGCACCTACGTTCTGCTTTTTATCCTACAGGTCCAGACCTTTCATATGGCAAATGAGGAAAATCAGGCACCTTTAGAGGGAAATAACAAATACTGGTTATTTTCCTTCCACATTTATTGCCTCAGGTACATTCAATCTCCCTCTGGACAAGTCCAAAGTATGAATCATTACCAATCTAACAATTTGCTTTGTGTCAATACTTGTATTTGACTAGAAACACGTGTTCCTGATCTCAACATTTAAACCAAACCAAACCAAACCAAACAAACATGAAAAAATACTTTACCAACATCAAAGACTTAGAAACTTGGGGTCATGTGGGTGATGTGGGAGCTGTGTATGGGTGTAAGAAGTCACACAAGACATGAAATTCAAATGTCACTTCCCCTATTCTGCAGGCCCCAGGATGTAATCGGGAGGGAAGATAATTCTAGGAAGAGTTTCACAGCTCATGAACACCCAGTGCCTGTAAACCTGTGGGGTTTTTGCATCAGAGGGGGCAAAGTGACCGCGAGTGAGAAGGGGAGGGCCAGGGAGGTGCTGCAGGACTCACCTCCTCCCTGGCAATGGTCATGTTGTCCTGCACGTTCCCAAAGACCGTGGGCTGGATGAAGTAGCCCCTGTCGGCAGCGGCGTTGCCACCACACAGCAGTTTGGCCCCCTCACGCTTCCCAGAGCTGATGTAACCCAGGATCTTCTTGAACTGCTCTTCATCCACCTGTGAGCCATGAGGACACACATCAGCTCCACCTCCACTGGGGGGAAAGGAGATTCTGCCCCCACCTGCTGTGCTCCAGCAGTTCCCAATCCAACAGAGTGCCCAAGCCAGCTTCAAAGGGAGCATTTTTAAATGCCAGTGTCAAGTGGAGGTTGTGGAATCATCAGAATGGTTAATTAACCTTTCCCCCTGCACAAGCAAGGAGATCATGGGACAGTTCAAAGGAGGTTAATCAAGAGACTGAAGGCTAATTCCATTCTAATCTAGTGACACACTATGGCTCAGGACTGGGACTATTCCATGAGGTAACAGCTGAGGGCATTTCCTGCTCTTACCTGAGGCCCCTGCTCAGTTTTAAAGTCGAAGGGGTTTCCGACCACCCTGGCCTTGGCCTTCTCAACACTCCTCTCCACAAACTCATTGTAAATGTCCTCCTGGACGTACGTGCGGGACCCGGCACAGCAGCACTGCCCTTGGTTGAAGAACAGGGCAAAGTGGGCTTGATCCACTGCCCAGTCCACTAAGAGTGGGGAGAGGAGAGAAAACAAATCAGCAAATAAACCCAACCAAAGTCAGAAGATGACTTCTTTAGAACAACTATCACAGAGACTGATGGGGGTACAACGTCCTGTCACTTGGCAGCATTTTCCATGCTTTGGTGTGGCAGAGGTTACATACATATTTCATTCATATGAGGGTCTGTTAAGGCACCCCATACTAGACAAAAATACCTAATCTGAGGCAGATTACAGCCCTAATTTGAATTTGTCAGGTATTTATTAAGGACAAATTTTTTTAGATCCAGAAGAATTTCCTCCCTCGCTGCCATATTAAAGCACATTTCTTGGTTCATCAAGACCAAAAATGAGACAGTATGCAAGGGAGGAGGGAACCAGGGCTTCTTAAGTGTAGGGAAGAGTGGTGTGCTCCAAGAGAAACAGAAATTAAACCAAAAATGGAGCAAAGATCAGGGGAAGATACTGAAACAACAGGTTGTTGACAACTGAACTTCACAGCACTGGGAAAAAAAAGTGGGATTGGAGCAGTGCTGATACTCTGGGTGAAACCAGCCCAGGGGAGTCAGGGCTGGACAGCAGAGGTTTCCTTTCCTTTCCCCTCCAGCTCTTCCTGCAGAAAGTCAAGGTAAAAGGCACAGATCAAACTTTACACAGAAGGGACTCACTGTCTGCATCGGACATGATGATATTGGGGCTCTTCCCTCCAAGCTCCAGGGTCACCCTCTTCAGGTTACTCTCTGCTGCAGCTTTCTGGATCAGGTGCCCAACCTGCAGGAGAGCAGAGCAGGGGCTGGAATTAACTCCTCCATCAGCAAAGCCTGGCAGGGCACTGGGTTTACACCTCAGTCAGCACTTCAGTAATAATCCCCTCATTGTCAGGGGAGCATTGTAAGGCTGCCCAGTTTCACCTCCAGTAAGAAGCACCTTAAGGGAAACAATGGGAAATATTCTAAAGAACAAAATAAGAATAAAAGAGTCTTACGTCATGCAAAAATAAATGTCACACCCTGGAATCAGCTGTAGTTTTTAAAATGAGATGTAGAAGGCAAAGCACCTCCAGTATTTTATACAGAAAAGGCAAACACCTCCAGTGTTTTATACAGCAACGGTGTTCCAGCAGTGAGATATTCCCTGCATCCCAAGGGCTGGAAGGTTGAGGTGCTCCCTTACCTCTGTGGAGCCAGTGAAAGCCACTTTATCAATGTCCATGTGGGAGGAGATGGCAGCCCCTGCCGTGGGCCCATAGCCAGGGATGATGTTCACCACTCCTGGTGGGAATCCAGCCTGACAATTCCCAGGAGACAGCAATGTTATTCCTCTTACAAATCAAGGACTTCACCTCCACCCCTCTGTTAGTGACCCTCAGTCAGCCTCCCACCAGGAACAGAGCATTTCCACTTCACTTTCACTTTGGGAAATTAAAATTGGTTTGGAGTTTTAGTGCTCAGTTTGCAATGACCAGGACAACTCCTCTCCCCACCCACATCCCAAGCACAGTTTGGATCTATACACACACACACACACACACATATATATGTTCACTTCCTAATCACCCTGGAGTTCATTATTTAAGTGAACCTCAAAGAGTCCTTCCCTAATCTACATACAGATTTATAAGTACAAAAGGGGTTGTGTTTTTTGCTGAATCAATGCTAAGAGACCCAAGACAATCCAGCCTCTCTGCAGAGCAGCCCCTCCCTGTTCCTGTCACATCGCAGTGTGGATCTCTCCCCACTCCAGCAGGGGATGGAAGCCTGGCCTTGGCACTCACCTCTTTGATCAGACTGGCCACATAGAGGCCACTCAGGGGGGTTTGCTCAGCCAGCTTCATCACCACCACGTTCCCAGTGGCCAGGGCAGGCCCCAGTTTCCAGGCTTGCATCAACAGTGGGAAGTTCCACTGAAAAACAAGGAGGGATTTGCTGGTCTGAACTGGAAAGTTTCTGATTATTCAGTAAGTACCCAGTGAGCTTCATTCAAATCAGCACCTGTGGAAGCAGTCCTGGATCTTCCCAGAGCTGCTCTCCAATCTTTGCCTCCTTTTCAAGCACTGCAGGAAAACTGTACTCCAAAGTGTGAGCTGTAAAACCCCAGCTTTTTCGAGGAATAATTTTTACCTTAGCCATTAAATGTTCTTTTGAGGCATTTTGAAACAGAGCCTGTTTGTAATGACCAGGCAGCACATGCAGACCAAGGAGGTGTTTATGTGCAGCTCTTGCTCAGTGCAAGTATGAAGAACATGCAAATACAGCACACAAAAATCAGACCCTGGCTGTTCCCACAGAGAGGTAACACTATCCATGGCTCCTTGTACAAATGTGTTTGCCACTTGTTGTTGACAAACTACCCTGTTACTGAAATAACATCACACACAGAACAGCTGATTTTTGCCCTCGAGCTCTATTGCCTCATCACATGAAATTTTGGATTTGATTCTAGGTAGTAGTTTAAACTTAATTGTGGTTCTGAGCTAGGTAACTGCTATAAAGGGGGTTAAATCCTTTTTAAAATTTTTTTTTAGGCAGCAGATACAAAGTAAATGTTACTCAGAGCCCATGAAAACAACTCCCAGAGTGAAGGAAGAGCCCTCCCAGCTGGTGCAAGCAGAGCTTTGTTTACCACAGAGAGGAAGCAGTGGTGCAGCAACAGATAGTAACTTGGTAACACTGAATTCTTGAAATGCTGCAGGAACTACTGTTACATTTTACTTACTGGGATTATCTGGCCACAAACTCCCACTGGCTCGTGTCTCGTGTAGCAGAAGAAGTCTCCGTCCAACGGGATGGTTTTCCCATGGAATTTATCTGACCAGCCTGCACAATATCTGGAGACAATAATGTTTTGGTCACTGAATTTAAAACAACCAGTCATTACAAAATAACAAGTGTCCTGTCAACAGAAAACAAGAGCAACTTCCTCCAGCTATTTGCTTCCTTCCCATTTTCAGTCACTTCCTAAAACACACCCCAATGCAAATATTTCCCAAAAAGGGGATGTTAAGGGTGGCCAGTAAATGCAAATATTTGTGTCTTCCACTTTTGCCACCACTTTGCACAGCATAGGTTCTGTCATTCTTGTGCTGTTAATGGATCACCACCATTAGTGTGAGACCTGTGTATAACATGAGACAACCTTTGGAAAGCCCCATGAATTACAGTAAAAGGTCAACCCAAGGTGTCTAACACTCTGCTATGGGCCAGATGAAACCACCAGTCAGCTCCAGACCCCACAGCCCCTGAATGGGAGGGACCTGGTCCTGCCCCTGCAGAGGTTTGTTTGCCATGGGCCAGCTGTGGCTGTCACCTCACACCCACCTGAGACACTTGACCACCATGTCCAGATCCACCAGGTAGGAGATGGCGTAGGGTTTGCCGTTGTCCAGAGTCTCCAGAGCCTGCGAAAGACAACAGCGGGTGAGGGGGGAAACTCAAGTGTACAGTTTGACTCAGTTTGTAATTTGCAGTCTGGATCTGTCCTGCATGTTGGCCTTTTGCTTCCAGCTTCCCAAAAGTACCTCCTCACCCTTCACAGCCCCGTCCCAGCCTGAGCTGTGGGTGAAGCCCCTGGGACACACAGTGGACACCAACTCCCGTGGGCAGAGCTGGGTCACGGAGCACAACACTCACCGCCAGGTAGGCCCGGTCCCGCTCGATCAGGTCGGCGAGGCGGTGCAGCAGCTTCCCCCGCTGGGAAGCATCCATCCTCCTCCAGGGAGAGCCCAGCTGGAACGCTGCCTTGGCTGCCTTCACCGCCTTATCCACATCTGCCTGCAGAGGAGGCCAGGAAGAGGGTGAGAGAGGAATAACCAGCCCACACTCTCTCTCTCTCAAAATCCACTCTCCAGGAGAAAACAACCCCTAGCCAGAGTGGCTGCTTGTGCCAGGCTTTTTGGGGACAAGAACCTGCAGCTTTGGCAGCTGCCCCACTGCCAGACACCATCAGCACATGGGCCACAGCCCCTGGGTTTGCCTCCTGTGACCACCAGCCCGGGCAGCACTGCAGCAGCACAGCCTCAGCACAAACACTGCACTGGAGCCCACACAGCTTTCCCAGCCAGTCTGTATCCATGGGGAAGAGGGAACAGGATTGGTAGTGCAGCAGAGGGTGCAACAGCTGTGCAGCCACCACCTCCACCCTCACTCACGCTGTTAGTTCAACTACAGGGAGTGCAAACATCATCAAGTTATTTCTGCAGTGTCACCTGCTGAGTTAATATTTGCATCCTAGAACCAGGCATGGAAAAAGCTCTGGAAGTGTTCTTTTGACACTCTTCAGGATTCAGTCTAGAGGAGTTTTTCCTTGATCAGAGATCTCTGATCCATCATTTTGTCCTGTCAGGCACTAATTGGTTTCTGGTTGGTTCT